GGCATAGAGGAGAAACAATAATGTACAGTATGTGGAAAATAATGTTTTTTTAACCTTAAACCGCATAAACACATTTCATTACACCAAATACACAAAATAATGTTCTTTTTAGCAACATCATATGACCCCTTTAAAAAAACAAGTTTTTTAAATATTTGCTACGTGAAAATGGTTTGAATACACATAAGAACATTCAATAACAACAAGCGATGTCATGACAGCACAGAAATGTGAAGTGTAACAAACAAAACGTAAGAGTGTGTGTCTATGGGCTGTGTGAGGCAGTATGTGTGTGTGTGGTGTGGTGTGGGGGGTTGGTGGTGGGCTATTCATACACATGTGAGCAGAAATACAAACACACACAAGCACCCACACCCTCCCACCACACACTCGAACACAATCATGCACACATATATCTGCACTCATACAGTATACACGTATACATGCCTACACTTTTATATTACCTAATAAATAAATATAGACTGTAAGCATTGAAATAAATTATAAAATCTGAAGACTATTTAATATTTCTGTTCAATAAAACCATTCAAGTGTAAATTATATCATAATTTTAATAAAACACAAAATAAGGCACAACCTACAGTGGGTACGGAAAGTATTCAGACCCCCTTCAATTTTTCACTCTTTGTTATATTGCAGCCATAAAAAATGTACAAGAAAAATATTGTTAAAATCTGGATGAATCTATTTCTGACATCCTATTTAACTGAAAAATATTTTTGTACCTGTCTGGTTTTCTGAGAATAAAAGTATTTGACACTTATTCCCGAGGCACATGGTGCATCACCTTTTCTTGCCGCCATTTTGAATATATTATGCAATATCTCAAAACAAAAAAATAGATAAAAAGACAACAATTAAATGGAATCGTAGACAACACTTTGGGGGTTCGCCAGTTGGTGGTTGGGACATGATGCTACATCTTAAATGGTTCAAAATGCCTTCCAAATATCTGTCCACTGTAGTGACCATGATGCATCAGAGGGTTAGTTTACTGTTTTTGATCATTTTGTTATAGTTTGATCATCATCGTGTTCATTTTTTTAGATCTGGAACATTTTTTTCGAGGGCCGTTACATCATCCTGTTGATGGGTATATTTTCAGTCTACACTGGGTTAATATACAACGACTGCTTCTCCAAGTCACTCAACCTGTTTGGCTCAGGGTGGAACGTCCGTGCCATGTATGATCATGGAGGCTGGAAGTGAGTGTTCAAAGCACAAAATATTGTGTACTGCATTCTTTTAAAAAAACAAAACAAAAAAAAGTATACAGTACACATTGTGCAACATATGTTTTAAAATGTAGTATGCTAAATTTCTGTTATCTGTCTTATCTAATAAATGTTTTAAAATGTGGGCACAGCATACCATGTTTCTGTAGAGATGAAATCAGGGCTTCACTAAAGCACGTTTATTTGATCAGCTACTTGTATAGCCAGCTGCTACTTGTATATCCTGAGTCTGTTTAATCCAAATTCACACATAAGGCAAGTCAATTCTAATGATTTTGAGTTTAATGTCACTATGTTTGAAGAGGTTTATTAGACAGTATAGACATTTATAATGTTGCCAAAGATTTCAGTTTCAAATAAATACTGTTCTTATGAACTTTCTATTCATTAAAGTATCCTGGAAAAATGTACGTGCATATGATTTCCGAATGATCATGTGACACTGAAGACGGGAGTATTAGCTTTTGAATATTGAGCTTTTTCATCACAGGAATAAATTACATATTAAGATTTATTAAAATAGAAAACAGCTATTTTAAATTGTAAAACTATTTAACAAAATATTTCTGTTTTTTTATGTATTTTTTTTATCAAATAAATGCAGCCTTGGTGAGCTGTAGTGTAATCCCTGCAGTCAGACAGCTGATTAAGTCAATAAATGACTGAAAATCAGCTTTGAAATTTTACACGTCCAAAATGTTGACAGCAAAATAAATCTTATTTATTACCTTACTGTAGGAAACAACAGGCACAGAGAATTCTCCTGTACAATATGTGGCTCTGATGTGATGTTCATTTTCTCTTTCTCCCAAGTGAACACACGGTCAGATCAAATAGCTTCCTTGCACTGGATCCAAATGTCACAGGAGTCTTTAACGGGCCCTATCCTCTGGGCATTGACCCGGTAGGTCTCGGACTTCATTTTTTTGCTGTGTTATAAAATGAAACAAATTACTTTACTATCACATCACGATAAAAACAAGTAACTGTGGGTGAAAGTCTTGGGTGAAAGGTTACATAGTTGAATGGCAAGCTATGACAAAAGATATAATTATTTTTACATCTGAGTTTAATAATATTTTATTTGCACTGTAGATCTGGAACCTGGCGTCAAACCGTCTCACCTTCCTGAACTCCTATAAGATGAAGATGTCTGTGATCGTAGGAATAATCCACATGACTTTTGGAGTAGTCCTTGGTGTTTTCAATCACCTGTGAGACATTTTAAAAGATATTTTTGATAGATGTTTCCAATGTTATGACTTTGGTCTTTCTAATATTTCATATGTTCATGTGTTCAGGCACTTCAGATGGACATTCAATCTGTACCTGATATTTCTGCCTGAGCTGCTCTTCCTGTTGTGCCTCTTTGGCTATCTGGTCTTCATGATCATTTATAAGTGGCTGTTTTTCGCAGTCAGAGACTCTCAGACAGCTCCCAGCATTCTCATCCACTTTATCAACATGTTCCTGATGCAGGGGGACTCCAGTCAACCCCTCTACCCAGGACAGGTGGGACTCAAAGAACCATATGTGCATCCATTCCACTTTACATGCACATCTGTTTTTCTTGATATTTATTTTCCCTCTTTCCCATAGGCCGGGTTTCAGGCGTTCCTGGTGACTGTGGCCGTGCTCTCTGTGCCTGTGTTACTATTGGGCAAACCTCTCTACCTCTACTGGCAACACAAGGGCAGAGACCGCCTGAGCATGTACCGGGTGAGGATCCTCTTTTTTTTTTGTGTTCTCCAGTTAGCTGAAGGCTGTTGGCTGATTTTCTGTCTTTCTCTCTCTGTAGGGTTATCAGCGTGTACGGCGGAGTAGTGAGGAGGAGCTCTCTCTCATGCATGCTCATGATATGGAGGAGGGCACCAGTCTGGACAGCCACTCCTGCAGCTCTGACAGCCAATCAGAGGAGGCGAGACATTCAGAACCAATTCGGTGCATCGTTTGGTGTGAATAAACTACTTTCCCTATGAGCCTAACAAAGTCTCCTCTCTTCCACAGTTTGATTTTGCAGATGTCTTCCTCCATCAGTCCATCCACACTATAGAGTACTGCCTGGGTTGCATCTCTAATACTGCGTCTTACCTCCGCCTGTGGGCTCTCAGCCTGGCACATGCCCGTGAGTAATATACCCCTCAATGTAGTGCTGGGCATAATAAAATAATAATACAATTATAGAAAACAGAAACCACAGATCTTCATTACAACCTGCCAAAATAAAAGTTTGTCTACCTTAAAGAAATGATGAATTGAATTGAATATTACTATTGAACAATAGAATGTACTTTTTTACAGTAATAATAATGAAAACTTAATTTTTAAGGAATATCACAGTATTTTTCATCTATGCAAAAAAAAAAAAAAAAAAAATTTACATTTTAAAATGTTAACTAAATTGTTTTATAAATTTATTTGATTACCAAAGTTTTTGGTAGTAAATTTGTATTTGACATGACAATGTTTTTTTATATTCTATGTACTCCTGACAGTAAAATAAGCAAACTATTATATAAACTATATATAAACTTAGATAAACTATAAACTCCAGGCATGCAAAGAAAAAGTACAGAGATATACCTTGAAACCGCCAAATTCTTAAAAATAGCGTAATACAATTTTTTGTAATACTGCCCAGCACCACTTAAATGACAGTTCAATCTATTTATTTATAATTTTTTTATGTATTAAAATAACCTAACTGAAATAAAATGTTACAAAAATGTAAACTGAAATGATTTCTTAATTTTTTTATTGAAGACAATAAGTTTTAATTGTAGTAAAATTTGTGATTATTTTATAGGGCTGGGTTTTGACACAAATTTCACGATTCGATTTGATTCCCATTCACAAGCGTTCGATTCGATTCGATTCAATATCGATTATTTTGGATACATATCAGGTACAGTACATGCCAAATTTTCTCAAGGAAAAAAAATCTCAACTAATGCTGTAAAATATACATGAGAGTCAGTTGGTACTACATGACTATAACATTGAAGGTTAAAATTAATGAAGTTTTTACAATAATAAAGTTACAGTTACATATTAATATTTCTACTTCAATTCGTTTTTTTTTTATATATATATAAACATTTAAATGGTGGCAGTCAAAAACTTGATGGATTTATTCAAAGATAAATTAAACATTGAAGAACAGTAAAAATTATAATGAATATGTTATATGGTGCATATATGAAGCAAAATGCCCCTCTCTACAGTTTATTTTTCTATCTGACTAATGAGTTTATGGTCACTGAATGTTTTTTTCTGAGGTAAATCATGTGATGTTACATACGTGACATATTGTTTACAAGCCGTTATATTGGCGTCTTTGCGCGGCTGAAACACAGATTGAGCAATTACATGAGACAGGATATGGATTGTAAAGTTGTACACTTTCTTTTAACTTACCTTCGGATATTTAGGATATTTATATTTAGTATAACTGGTATTAATGTTGAGGAGATGATCAGTTCACGTGCGCCTCACGCTGCTGCTTTGATCTGAGGCGCTACAGCGATCTGTCACTCCACATTAAACAGCGCACAATGCTTATTGCGATTTATTGGATGGGAAGTACCCTTCAATGTTCCGTCCATTAACTGAAAACAGGCTAGACTAATTGATTCTTGGGATTTAGGAATCGATATCGTTCCGTAAAAATGAGAATAGATTAATATTGAGAAATCAATATTTTTTACCTAGCCCTATTATTTTAATATATTTCATATTTCTAATGTGTATTAAAGGGTTAGTTCACCCAACAATTTAAATTAGCCCATAAATTACTCACCCTCAAGTCATCCTAGGTGTATATGACTTTCTTCTTTCAGACGAATCCAGTCGGAGTTATATTAAAAATTGTCTTTGATCTTTCAAGCCATCCATAAAAAAAAAAAAGTGTCTCACACGGCTCCGGGGGGTGAACAAAGGCCTTCTGCAGCGAATCAATGCGTTTTTGTAAGAACAATATCCATATTCAAAACATAATAATCACTTTAATCTAGCTTGCGCTCACTGTTGTACACGGAAGCAGTTCCAGGCGGATGACGTATGGAGGTTGGTGAGTAATTTATGGTCTAATTTTCATTTTTGGGTGAACTAACCCTTTAACAAAAGATTTTGAAGTAAGCAGCTTTATCATAATTACAGCAGAAATACTGGGTGAAATGTTTAGCCTATATAGGGCTTTAGATTATTGTTTTGGACAATTATGGCGTTTTCCACTGCGAGTACCAGGTACCAAGTACTGTACCCAGTGGAAAACCCCCCAAAAGTGAACCGTACCAAGCTGTACCGTGCCGTACCATGCAGTGGAAAAGCGCCATTAGAGGCCTTTAAGTTAAACAAGTTGAGAACCACTGGTCTTTATTTAAGAATCCAAAATATTAAACCAATACATATTGAAGCCCAGATTGCTCATAAAATGGCTAGAATATAGTCCTTTTAAAATAAAGGAATGCTGAATGACAAGGAACTTTTTGTTGTGGTCCAGAGCTCTCTGAAGTGTTGTGGGCGATGGTGATACGGGTCGGTCTGCGTGTGGACACCAGGGTGGGCATTGTGTTTCTGGTGCCTGTTGTTGGTCTGTTTGCTGTCCTCACTGTGTCCATCCTGCTGGTGATGGAGGGACTTTCAGCCTTCCTTCATGCTCTCAGACTCCACTGGTCAGTACATTACCTCAGATATACACCACCATCACAAAACAGTGTACTATTGTAGTCCCTCACGCTCAGGAGCGGTTTGGACATCCATATTTAGTCATCGGATCAAAGTATGTAACTGTACTTTGTACTGAATGAATCAAACTGAAATGATCTCTCTTTCCTCAGGGTGGAGTTTCAGAACAAGTTCTACAGCGGCGCTGGCGTCAAGTTTGTACCGTTTGCCTTCTCTCTCTTGCACTCCAGCTTTGAAAATGAGGGGCTGTTATGAACTATGAGATGCTAAAGACCAGACCAGAGCGGATCTGTGGGCTTCATTTTAACAGATTTACATACAGTGGTGTTTCACTACATGCCAAAGTGGTCCAGCCAAATACTCTTTAGGGATTATATGGAGATACCAGATCAGCATTGACATACTGAGCCACATCAGATGCTTGGTCAGTTTTGGACATGCAACCATATCATAAACACACTGAGATAAAGCAACAGCTCTGGACTGTAAATAGGACTCTTGAGTGCTTTTTTTTTTTTAATCTGTTGAATGTATTAACTTTTCACAGAAGTGCTGGTTGTGAATATCTTTTTTCTACCATGTTGCCTGTTGGCTATGCAGAGATGGTCGACTCTCCATAGATGAGCACATTCCATGAGTGACTTCAAGGTTTAACTTTTATGGCAGTTTGCAGTAGAGCAAGTGAATTTTTAACTGCTTGTGTAAATTCCAGCATTTTCATCCTGCTGCGTTCATCCTCCACAGTGTTGAAACATGATTGCGGCTCATTCATAGTGTTGAATGGTACTGTGCTTAGATAACAACAGATGTAATACATTCGGGCACAGTATTTGTCAGATGTTGGCAACAATTACTTGCCTAAATGTTGCACTAAATTTGTTCATTCTTAATGCTGATTAGCCCAGATCTTGTTTCTGTTGGGTTGTATAGATAGAGCTTCATGAGGCTCTGTTTCAAATCCTGCTGCAGCTGATCTTCTTTGTGTTTGAAAAATCTCCTCAAGAACCCCTGCTAGCCCACAGGAAGCTCAGATATTTCTAAGTGCCTAACAAGCTGAATGCATTCTGATGGGTGGGTGGTGGATTGAATTTCAAGCTGTTCATTTAGTTTCATTTAGAACTTAATTTGATGAAATGCATTGCATTGTGTTGCTGTTCAGGGCAAAGCTTAAAGGCTGAGAGTTGTGAAACTCTCAAAGTCAATTAATTTTAATTGTATTGTAAATGGAGATGTTTTTAGTGATTTTAACTCACAGATCTGTTCAGTTACTCTGTTCTGCCTCTCCAGAATGTTTTTTTTTTCACTCATGAATTTAATGTGAGATTTTGGTGTGTGGATTGTGAGCTACTGAATTCATTCCGTTTTTTTTTTATTTTTAGTATTTATTAACAGTACTCATTTTGATTTCGATCTATCGTTTGAGTTTGTGCATTGTTTAGGTAATTTACATTCCACATTTTGCATATGATCTCTATATTATCATTACACAATAAAATCAAGCCTGTGAAGCTGGGGTTATAAAACATTAATTAAATGACTTGCTATCATTGCTATTTTTGAGCAAAAGCTTTAAGATGTAAATGTTTCTTTTCTGAAATTGAAACAACTTTTATTTAATCCTAATTGAATTCACTAACATTTAATTTAGCACTTTTGTTTTTTACCACCTCAGATCTTGAATCTTTGAACCATGTAAAAAAATGTAAGCTTTTATTTGTTTTTATAAATAACCTTAAGGAAAATGACTTTTACATGTATAGGTGGGTAAGTGTGAACAAACAAACAAACCATAAATTGTTGCATTGCGCTTCATTCAATGTTTTAGAGCTGACGTGGAAACAAACTAAGGATATGCCTGCGTTAACAAACTATGTTTAAAAGTAGTAACATATCTCTGTGCTCAGAGGTCATAAAATCTTACAGAAAAGCCTTGCTGGTGATGAAAAATAGTTCTTGTGGGTACATTACTTTCCAACATACTGCCTCATCACACCCCCTTCAGTCATTCTGCATGATACCAAAACATTCCTAACGACTGTAATTCTGTATTCCACTGAATTCATACTGTATTCCAAGTCAGTGAGTTTTAATCTGAAATATTAACATTTATAATCATACATTGACAGCTTGTCAAACGTGAAACTTTGACTAGCTGGATCATTTTAAATTAAAAGATCCATTTACAAGTAAACATCTTGGTTAAAATTCAGGTTTATACCAAAACAGCATTTATTAGGATGTCATGGCATCATTACGTTTGTTTCCTTCATAATAGTAATAATAATAATGGTTATCACAAAATACATATTGTGGTGTGAGCGCAAAACACGACCGCCAGTCTAATTTTACTTTTTTGACAGCAATAAGAAATAAAGTGAGAACTGATCTCCAGAGATGTCAGGTCTCAACCCACTGCCTTAGAACAGGACTTTCTAAACAAAATAAATACTGTTGATTTGTTTCTGTGAACGTAACTGAAGTTATACAACTTTGCAATGGAGGCTACAGTTTCAAAGTGCTCGGCAAAACAACTGAAATATCACATTTTTTATCACTCCTGAGTCCTGATGATTTATAACCGCCAGAAGACATTTAAAATAGGTCTATGTTACGGGGGACTGAAATACCAGTTTTAAAAAATGTACTACAGTGCACTTCTCTATCGCCACATTGTAATGTGAAATGCAGCAATCCCCTTCATCAGGAACACTTGGGTGTTTTAATCCACTGTCTCTACTGCTATTAAATACAAGCATATCATAAACACAAAACAAGGTCAGCAAGCTGTTTGCTTGTGTTTTCAGTAGTAAGTTACACTTTGTATTGTGAGTGGATGACAGTTTGCTATGTCCTCTGAGAGAGTCAACTTTTATCTGACTTGTTTACTTTTATTGGTTGATCGTTCATTCATTAAGTATCCTGATTGTACAAAAAAGTATTTGTTTAATTGCATTGATATGCATTGTACTGTGGCACAATGACCACTGGGGACTCCACCAAGCCAATGCAGGAAGCAGCTCATTAATGTGCATGACAATTCATGAATGTAAAACACATTTGTGTCAGAATACCTACACTGTCCAGTACAACAGACACAAGGGCTCTTTTAATGCTTGCCTGAAGCTCATTGGCTAACTGAAGACATGAGATGAATCTTATGGCGCTTTTCCACTGCGTGGTACGACTCGGCTCGGCAGGCACGGTTTGCGTTTCCACTGCAGTTCAGTACCGCATTAGGGTGGGCAGGATTATTCACATGTCGTTATAGTTGCGCCGCCTCTACT